AGTATAGACTATTCATGAAAATCTCGTGTGTTATTTATTTTTATCGTAGGACCTAAATGATGACTTGGTTTAAAATTGTACCTAAAGATATATCGGTGGTAAAAAGGATTTGTACCAATTACGTCATTAGGGTAATCATAATCACGGGTACACCCATTAGTTAGACGGTCGACACAATTTAAAATTACATCATTTAAAATCATATACATTTTTAGGCTTACGACTAAAATGGTATCCTTCATAACGTTGAATATATCACATTAATTAATGCAGCCACATGTTGTAGCCCAGCTAGGCCGATATACAACTACAGCTCCAATAAAATGGACGTCCCACGCAAATTACATAAAATTATCATAAACTAACTTTTTACTGCAACTCCGTTCGTGTCCAAAATATTTTTTAAATCATATAAAACACTAATTTCAAAACATTTTCATTAACAGTTTACTGTTGGACTATGAGCAACTTGTGAATAAAAGGATTTGTCATAATCTTCACACGCGGCAATAGGGCTGGAAATTATAGTTTAAAAGGTTCTCTTTCAAATATATAAAATTACTTAATCGACTCCTACGACATCATAGGGAAGAACTTTTTCTTATTGTGGGAAATTTACCGCCGTCAGTTTACCGGCGTAAACGAGCTGACGGATCACCTGATGGTATGCAATCGGCGTCGCTCAAGGACACTTGGGACACCAGAGACGTTACGTTGCGTTACCGGACTTTTGGGGATTAGGAATTTCAAGACTATTGGGCATTCAGGGTTTGGGGAGATTATGGAAGAGGTAACTTCACTAGGTAACCTCACTTGCGAACGAAATACAACGCAAGCGTAGTTGCACGTCGGTTTTCTGTAAGGGCGTGGCGTCACTCCGCTGGAGACGGCCCATTCGTGCCGAAGCATGGGTCTCCTATACTTAAATAGCAACAAATGTATTCTTGTCTCCTATTACATAAACTAGATAAGAACTTTAAAGATTTTTATAGGACTACCTGATCCGGCAAACTTCGTACCACCTAAAAGATTTTTCTCACCTTTTAAACCTTCCCTAGACTTCCACGAACCTATCAAGACCAAAATTAGCCAAATCAGTTCAGCCGTTCTCGAGTTTTAGCGAGACTCACGAACAGAAATTCATTTTTATTTATATAGATAAAGGTAACAAACGAGTAAAACAATCGCCAGATGGCAATGTAATGACATTGAGATGTAAAAACTCAACAAACAAAGAAACAAACAGACAATCAAGCACTAGTAATAATGCTATTAGTTGGTATTCATGCGCGTGAGATTGATGCGATGTTGCAGATTAAATGGCGCGTTTGTCTGAATACTGTGGATTATGTATGAGTTGATGGGTGTAGTATTTAGGGGGCTATTATTGGGACATTTTTGGGTGACTAGTGCGTGTGGTAGTATGATGGTATTGAGATATTTTTATGGAATAGGAGGTAAATGAGCAGATGCATCACCTGATGGTAAGTCGTCAGGGCCATCTATGGAAACTCGCAATACCAGAGGAGTCACAAATGCGTTGCCGGCCATTTAAAAAGGAATATGCTCTTTTCTTGAAGGTCTTAATGGTTCGGAAATATCGCCGACGACAGATTGATTGACGATTATTTCAGAAATATTTTAAATGATTGCCTCGTTGGACTGCCTCTTCGGTCTTGCTGCATCGTTGGCCGAATGGTCACAAGTGCGACTGCCGGGCGAGGGGTCTGGGTTCGATTCCCGGGTCGGGCAAAGTAATAAACGGTTTTAAAAAAATCTCAATAGAAGCACGATATATGCTCACCTCCTTTTACATGGGAGTCATGACATCCATAGTGAAAAGTGGGTGTTACATTGTACAGTGGCATAATGTCCACCTGTGCCTACCTCTTCGGGGATAAAAGGCGTGATTTTATGTTATGTGTGTGTTACTTTAATTTGACCCTAATTCATTTGATTAGGGGCTGCTGATGAATGCTTGTAGGCTGTTGATGAATATATATAAGGTTAGGTATGCCATGAGTAATATTAGACTATCATGATACCCTACTAGCAATAACACAAAAACCAAACGACCGACTGTTCACTGTTCATTGTTCGACCTTTGACCCTTAACCCACGCGACTAACATAAACCGGTTTGAATTGAAGACTTAAAACTATAAATAAATAATTTCTTAGAAATTGTCATCTGTTGCCCACAGACATCCTTTCATTTTCTTTAAAGCTTCCTTATTTATCAGTATCCTCATAATAATTATTGGTTAAAGTATTTCATCATTATTGTGTACAAAAACAATGAATACGTCATATGAATCAGTTTCTAACTCTCTAACTCCTAATACATTACACCTAATGACCAATTTGATTGAGATTTTGCTCTTGCTTATTGGTGGAGTTCATAAAGATGACTGATGTTGTTACTTCTACTTGATGGATAAGTGCATTTAATATGGCTGTGTTATTACAAAGTTAAATAAGTTTGTAGGTATATTGAGTGTCAACATTATCGCATTGGTGTAACCAGTTGGGATGTGTTGATTTTTTTTTTAATCTCATTTATTGTAAGGGATTTTTGTACAAATTTTGTGACGATGTCAATCCCATCGTGCTTCTACATAACGAATGTATTTACAACTTAAACAAAAAAACTTAGTCTACTTATCTATCTAATATAAAGAAATATATAATTTTCGCAGCTTCAGATGTAGGCTTACCTAAAATACTATTAAACATTCCAACATCCATTACTGACAGTTTCATGGAGTTGAGAAGTGTATTTCTCTTATTTGTATGTCGGACACATTTCACCAACACATGCTGCACGTCTTCTATTCTGCCACATATCTCACAATATGTGTTGATTTAAATAAATACATTTTAAGGTCTGCAGTAAGCCAAACTAATTCAGTTGAATAACAACATATCACCCGAAACATCTCTCTATCATTTGTTTGCTACATTCTTGGAGATTTCTGTAGTTAGACTAAATAGCAATGTAAGCTTATAATTAGTTTTCATACACAGCATGCGCCAGGCCCTAATTTCAAACTCAGCGCTATATTCATAGTTTTTTTTTTTATATATGAACCGAAGCTGTAACACAGTGCAGCAGCTAATCCCCTAGTTATTGCACTGAACATGCTATTAATGTATTATTTTGTAGTTTAATGTATCTGATTGATAGATACCACCTATTTGTAATAATCTGTTAAGGTGCTCCCTCACCGGGAGCATTGGCGTTTAATGTTACGTTACAGATCTGGGCATTACATCAGTGAAGGAGGAGAACCGAGCATTACAATGCGCACCTTGTAATGATACAATGTGTAATATCTTGTTACAACTTGTAACATCAATGCGCTCCACTTACCCCAGCCCCCCGCCCGCTTCGTCTGACATCTTGCTATGAAATGCTCTAAGTCGAAGCAATATGTTACATTACACGCAAATGCTCGTTAGTGAGGGAGGTATTATTGTAATGTAATGCTCAAAGTCGAATCTATAATGTTACATTACACGTGAATGCTCCCGATGAGCACCTTTAATCCAACTGTACAATATATCTTCATAAAACTTATTTTATTTCTGATATTTGATACGATTCTCTAAAGCGCACTCGAGATGAGAGCCAATTAAAAATTAATCGTCAAAAAACAGAGATTTGTTTTTCTCATAAATAATTCAATGGACGTCTAACGAGCAATGTTCAAGAAAAATAACTGAATTTTTGTTTAGAAAAGCCGGAACATAATTTAGTTGTAACGAGATAATTATTGCTCCTCTTGACGTTAAAGATCAGTTAGGATTTATCCACACCGATATCAAATGATTTAATTAAAAATAGACTTTATGATTCACAGTACTACATTCTTTTTGATTCATTGGCGTATATAGTACAGTGGATGTACATATTTGTAGCTGTTCACATTTCTAACTGAGTGTTGATATTCGTTTTTACAAATCTATCAGCTGTTAGTCTTTTGGAAAGATAATCATTCGCTTATTCCATTGTATCTTTTAAACTAGACTCGAAAAGAAAAACCTTCTTTTGCGCGTCTTGAACACATTACTTCTCGATCTAATATTAAACAAAATTCCGATCGACAGATTAACATTAAATATTGGACGAGACAACCGTTAATAGCATGAACTTTAATCACAAACCAATCATCAGAAGACCTGAACGTATTAATAACAACAACAATAAAACACCACATTAATAAGAAAAAGGCCGATATCAGTAATAGTGCAGCCAAAGCTAAAATTACACCTCCTCCGTTACTTTCTATAGTTGCTAAATACAGCTATCTCGTCAACACTGTAGGTATAAATCACAAGGCCTATTCATTAATCAAATACCAAGTAACAGTAGATAAAGCATTTCCACCACTAGAAGTTGTGTACGCTGCATATACAGTAACGGTCTGCCGCACCCAAGCGTGCTTCCAGATGTGAATTAGCACACTGTTCATATTAATCTGATTGCACTTGATAATTAATTAACTGGTTTTAACTTTCTTTTTTATATAAATGTTGTTACAGTTACAATGGATGATCGTGATAATGATAAACTTGGTCAAGATGATAATTCCAATCTAGTTAGGCTGAGAAACGTCTAGGACTAGATGTTAATATTAATATTGGTTAAAAGAAAAATGGCCACTGAAAATGAGAAATGAATGAATGATTTAAATGCTAGAAATTTTCCAAAAGATGTTAGTCAAAGAAAGCAATTAAGTAGTTAATGGATAGCTCGTGGGTGTTTTATATTAAATTAATCTTATTCGGCATTTTTAATTTCGTTTCAAATAAAAATCTTAATTACAAGTTTGAGGTTAATTAAATACGTTAGACGTTCTTCTAAATTAGATGTTTTATTATTATTAAAATCTGAATGTTTTATGTGTTACTTAGAATTTTATAATTCTGTTTATTTCTGTTAAGTTCTACGAGTGGCTCTGTTTGTATGAAATTTGATAATTTTTATTAAACACCTACCTTTAGCAGTTCTTCCATCGTAGATCTCCAAATCCAAAGCGTCATTGCGCCCGTCCACCTGTGATAGTCTGAAGGTATAGTCGTTCCAGTCAAAACTAAACGCGTGACTATCCAAGAAGTTTGTCAGCCACCAGTCCTTTGACCGCGCCTGCCTCGTCCTCAATGGTTCTATCGTTAACACATTGAACACCCTCACAGATTTCTGCTCCTTCAAATTCCTTAGAATCTCCTTAGCCATATGGTCTATACACGTAGCATTATCACTACAGTTCAGTTCAACTATCGCCCTAACGTCCCCCATCAGCATGAAAGCGACCAAAAGGGCAAGGGGATTCATTTTAACCTATTTCTTTTTCACAAACACTGTGTCACAGGTTTTCACCAATCCATTTGTGGGTCACGCCTTTCCGAACCATCTACATCGATGGCTACTTGGTTAATGAGTCCCTCTATGCCTGCTTGATCATTTTTATCTGGCGTCACGCTGCACTGGCCACCGCGGACGGCGTGTGCATTATTTTTTTCATTGAGTTCTTCACTTGCATGTATGTGCTACACCACTTTTCTTTCCACTGTACATGTTTTTATTCAAGAATTTTCCGTGATCCGCACATTTAAGGTGCTTTATCGAGAATTATTGATGTGTGACATAAAAAATGTTTTCGTTTCGCTTTGGTATACGTCGCTAATAGGTATTGTGAGTCAATATTTTACTTTCATATGTGTGGTTGGCAAATTCACTGAGCGAACAAGTTTATTTGATGTCACTCAATTTTTGCTGATATATTTTTAATGGCTGAAAGTGACGTACTCTTTGTTATTCTTATTTTGAAATATAGTGCGAAATGGAATAAAACTCAAAGAGACCAAACAGTTCATGAACTAACAAATGAATTAATACCCTGGCCCAGAACCGATCTTTATAATGAAAGAAACCTTCATAAGTTTTTCACGGAATATTTTAAATACCAAAATGAATGAGGTGTGTAGAGTTCTGAATAAAGCAAAGCTTAAGTGCTTCTAAGTTACAAAAGGCTGAAAGAATGTTTCTTTTCACTAAATATACGATGGTTGCGTTAAAGTATTTGAACCCTTTTATGTAATAAAGGTTTTTATAGCTGAGTGCCGTTTCTTGAAAGTCTTATATTGACTGTAAATTAAAGATGTTATTTTATACATAATAATTGTAAACGATATCGAAATTATTAGAATTATTTTGGTTATCACTAAAGCATAAAATTAGATTAAGAATAAATTTTACCTTTAAAAATCTCATTTTTTGTTAAAAAATATATTGATATATTTCCTTGTAAATGATGAAATGCGATGACTCTTACCGCCAGCAGACATACGACTTGGAACCACTGAACACACTTAATACTGTCCATAACTATACACCATTATTTTTTTTTCATCACCAAATTATCATCTTTCCACTACGAACTACGATTGAAACTTCCAACAGACGTGATTACTGTACTGACATCTGCTTCGAATTATAAACCAAAGTTAGAGTAATTACGCATATCATTACGAAGGCGTGTCGCTAGTTGGGTAAGTGTTACAACTTAGTACAGTACTGGTTTAAACTGATTTTGGGGCTGAATAACTGGGTGAAGTTTGAAGGTTTCTGTTTTGTGGTTGTATCCCTAATCACTGAGTTGTGTTGGTGACGGCTGTGATTGTTAATCTGTTAAGAAAGTGTATTTCAATAAACACTATTTGATCAAATATCATATTACACATCAGCATCCCGTCACAGTTCACTGCTAAAGTCAAAGTCAAAATCATTTACTTCAATTGGACTAGGAAGGCCCTTTTCATCTTTTGTCCCCGAAGGGGTAGGGTAGGTACAAGTTACGGCACTTAATGCCACTGTACAATGTAACACCCACTTTTCACTATTTATGTATTGAGACCCATGTATTAGGGGGTAAGCCTATTGCCGAGCACATTTCCAGACTCCATGCTTCTACTGAGAATTTTCAAAAATACCCAGTAATAATTTGCCCGATCCAAGAATCGAACCCGAGATCCGTTGCCCGGGAGTCGCACTTACGGCCATTTGGCCAACGAGGCCGTCGAACTAATAATAAAATATTAAAAATATGAGTCAGTCCGTTAGTCCTCAAGTGAAGTTATTATGAACCTTCTTTGTGAAAGAGTGTATTCCACAACCGCATCGCTGGTGGTTTGAAGATCGCAGTTGTGGATATATCAGAGATTGCTGCTATACAGACTTTTTATATGCAATCCCTTTTCGTGAAGACCATGGAAAGGCAAGAGGTAGTGTCAAAACATAGAGGTAGTATAATTACTCCGCTGTCACCACTAGACAATCCATAAAAGATTTCAATAGAATATACTAGAAACTACAAAACGTAACAAAGTTAGGCATCACAGAAGAAAAGTGACTTGGTGACCGGAATAAAATATCCTTGAAACTAAGACTATACTTCTATCTAGGGAACGCTAAAGCTCTTGAACTAGGAATGGCTAATTTAAAATGGAAAGCAATCGTAGAAAAGACGACGATTCTATCGTCTATGAAATTATTATGCTTCTGACTGTGTTCTAGGAACTATGATGGAATGATGGTGAGTAGTTTTTTAAACGTTGCCCCACATTAACATATTCTCCTGTGGATGAATTTAGAGCGGTTTTTTTTACTCGCATTGAGCAAGCGTGGTGATTAATGCTCAAACCTTCTCCGTGTGAGAAGAGGCTTTGCTCAGCAATGGGCATTTATAGGCTGTTAATGATGATGAATGTAAGTTTAGGTTTTTATAATAACTATCGTGAGACATACTAAATTAAGTAAAAACGCGGGTTACTCACGTGAATATACTAGATGAGCAGCGTGCGCTGTCGCGGCGACGTCGCGCAGCTCACTGGAACACATGAGCTAGAACTCCTCTGTGGTTCGAAACTAGTAGAGCTTTTCTCAGTATATTCACGTGAGTAACCCGCGTGTTTACTTAAATGTATGTTTAGCTCTCAAAATCCGAATTTAGTTTGTTTAGAGGACCTGCTTTATTTTCTCCTCATTCTTAAGCATTGTCTATTTGTTATGTTTTAGAAATGATGTCGACATGAATATAATCTACTTTTTCTCCACACAATTTTATTAACGAACCAACAACAATTCCACTTTCATTTTCTTCAAGTACTGTATCTTACTTATATTTAAGTATTCTCACAAAAACTACATAAAAAACTAGAACAAATGATAACTGTTTTGCTGTCTGTACGTACAAATGAAACTTATTTTGTTTAATCACTTGCCGATAGCACGCGATCTATGTTCTACTAATAAAAAGTGGTACAATTTGTCCGGAACCATACCTCAATGTCGTTTTAGGCAGCCCTAGCTTTAATTAAAATCAATATTATTAAGTGTGGGAAAGCCATGCTTCGGCACGAATGGGTCGGCTCGACCGGAGTGATAAGGGCCTTACAGAAAACCGACGTGAAGCAACGCTTCGTCGTGTAAGTGAGGTTACCGGAGGCCCAATTACCCTACCCTTCCCCAATCTCCCCAATCCCTGAATCCCCAACGATCCTCAAACTCCTAATCCCCAAAAAGCCGGTAACACACTTGTAACGCCTCTGGTGTTCCAGGTGTCCATGGGCGACGCCGATTGCTTACCATCAGGTGATCCGTCTGCTCGTTTACCGGCTTATGCCATAAAAAAAA